AAACGTTGACTATTTATTGTTGTTGTTAATTAAATTATTAAATTATTTTATTTAATAATAATGTAAGGTAACGATTAAATTATAGTAATGAATTTTCGTATTTAAATTTTTAAGTTTAATGAAAAAAAAATTTAGATTCTACTATGACTTACGGGGTACTGTCCGTGCAACCTTAAGTATAAATAAGAATTTCTGGAAAAAAAATCTAATTTTTACAATTTCGGAGAAAAGTACTTTTCTATTATTCGGAAAAATTGAAATAAATACTCGCTATAAATTTACTTGTTTAACTATTCTTTTGTCAATGTTAATTAAAAGAAAATTTTTTTTTTTTTTTTTTCAATTGAGTCAGTATTTTCTCTCAGAATATAAAAGAAAAATAACAACCCTTTAAAAAAATTAAATGAATTGAAAATTAAACGTTTTTGGATTTTTTTTATTAAGAGAGGAATATTCTTGGATGTGTCATGTATGGTGAGTAGTTTTTAATACAACGTTGTTAGGATGTTGTATACTGGTGTTCTTGAACTATTGATGTTTATTTCTCGGAGGAGCGTTCGTAGAGAGGATCGATTGGGTTCAGCTGGCCAGCTCGATTCTCGAATGAATTATCGCTCATCGGCTGTATTGCCCTTTCATTTCCAGTTATACGCGGAGCAGTGAAGCACTCTCGTATGGCTCGTATCGTATAGTACTGCCATCACCGACGTTTTCTCATCCCCCACCTACATCCCTCTTCTCCGTTCACTGCCGCGTTTGAGCTCTCCACGCCCGAGGGACGATCAGACAGCAGCTGCATCACTCCCGCGGCGTTTGAACTAACTCTCACGTTTCTCCATCTCCGTTTCATGGACTACATCATATCCTGTGGAGAATTGAATCATTGGTAAACCAAAAGAGCAAACTTCGTAATTGTTTTGATTCATTATTTTTTTAAATAAAAAAACTACTTTCGTTGTTTCCTAAACTGAAAATGTTTTAATTTAAAATTATGTACTGTCAGTTTAATTTTTTTGTGAGGCTTGGTGTTGTATGAAAGCATCGTCCTTTGTAATTTATGAAAAAAAAATTATGAAATAATCGTAACATTATCAAGTTCATTAAATCATTAAAAATGACAGTTTATAACGTATCGATATAGAACGTTGTACGTAAAATTAAATGATCCGAACAATGTCAGTGTTTATTCCTATCATTATTGTCTTTCATATAAAACAACACTGATAAAAAATTTAACTTGATTCAAAAGAAAAAATCTTGAATCAAGAATACCATTTTGAAGAAAATAATTTTCTTGTGTCAAGAGGAAAAATTCTTGAATTGAGAATAATTTCTTCACGGTGAGAAATTTCTATTATTTTTTATTCTGCATGGATTTTTAATTTTACAATGGTGCATATTACTAGTGAATCTTATTGACTCAGAATAAAATTTTACAATGGTCCATAGTAATTTCCGAATTTGTTTTGAAATCAGACATAGCAAACGGTAGAAATTAAAATGTACCATAGTGAAATGAAATATGCAATAATTTAAATTTCCGAATGTACTATAGCAAAAAAATAAGAAAATGTTTGTGAAAAATAAAAAATTTTAGAGTAAAAAATATTTTTAGCAATCAAAAAAAATATCAAACCAAACAAGATTTTTTTTTGTTTGTAATAATTTTTAAAAATATTTTTTTAAAATATAGTTTTTTTTATTTGTTTTTTATTTTTAATTTGAACGTAGGATTTATTTTGGCAGTTAATTTTATTATAAATAATTATAAACACAATGTATAACTTTTAAATTATTTTTTATTATAATAATAATATATTATTAGAAAAGTGTCGGTTGCAGGTTAACCATCGAATGTTTGTTTTCATCTTAATTTTTCACGGTAAATTATTATATATTTTATTATTTAGGAATCTTACAACAAAGCAGCACGAAAAAATGAAAGAGCGTGCGTCGCGACTGACGCGCATACGTTTACTATGGGACATTTGAAAATTTCATAGTCACAATTTTAAGTTTAAACCGAGTACACGTGACTAAATGTCAAATTTTTTTATAAATTTTTATTGTCGACTGAGCAACAGAAATTTTACTATGGAACTATAATGAAAAGTTTTAAGCACACTCACAGTTTTTGTTCAGTCAGTTTACGAAAATTTTTTATATATGTTTATGTAACAGTTACATGGTCAAATTTACTATGGTCCCTAGTAAATATTAATTGGTACAATATGATATTCTTAAATTTTTATGGTAATATTTTCAATTGAGTCATTAAGGTTCAGTCTTATTATGTATGCATAGTAAATTTCTACAGAAATTTCTCACCGTGTTCATATATATAATTTTGCCGCTATATATGATCACATATATTCCCCATATAACTTTCCATATATGTTCAGCCATATATAGTTTTTTCATGCGAGAATGCTACCGTCTATTTTAATTCAACAGAAAGAAATTCTTGGGCGAAGTTGTATATGGGTGATTCTTTGTAAGGATGTTTTTCACTGTCCCATCAGGCATTTTTTTATTAAAAAAATTGTTATTTTGTTACTAAAAAAAAATTTGTTACGAAAGTAAAAAAACATTTCTATTTGGAGCATCGAAAACTAGGATGAAATAAATTTTGGTTTTTTTGCTATAATTTCGTAAGCCACCGAAATAACAGTTCCCTGGGTTGTCCCATACCCAAAATTAAGACTTTAAGATTAAATTTTAAGTTATTCATCCATAACATATCATTTGGTCCATAATGTTTATAAACTTAATTAGTTAACTAACAATCTTCTTCAATAAAAAGTACCGAAAATTAATTTGTTTCATTAAATTCATTAAACCAAAGTTTGTCCCAGGCATTTTAAGAACAGTCCCCTGCCAGAAGTTCAAAGCCAAAAAAAACAATCCAGCGTGTTATTTTACCTTTTGTAAGGTTTATAAGGACCTAACTAGCCTTGAGTTAATAACCATAGGGCTGTTAGCGCTTTATCGGCATTTTATTTAGTGGCAAAGCACCGTTTGTGCTGGAAATATGTGTCTGCGGGCCACTTCAAAACTCAGTCTCTTAGCTACTATTTTTATTTATAATTTATTTATAAAATTGAATCCAAAAGTCTTAATATTATTCTAATTAATGTAAATATTCATTGAGAACTTGAAAAGTTGAATGCATTGAAATAGTTTGCTTGATTTTTCTCAATTTGATAAAAAGAAACAGTCCCCTGTCATGTTATATGGCACAAGACACACAAATATCGAAAAAGCAAAAATTAAATCGGCTGTTTATTTCTTGTGATTAAGAAAGTACGAGCACCAAGACAACTTTCGATAAAAGGCTTGATTTTTTTTTAATATGAAGTTTAAATATTTCTAAACAAATTCCGAAAATTTGAAAGAAATTGTCCGATTATTTAAATAAATAATTAACTTCAAAGTTGAGCAATTTAACATTGTTCTTATGGGGTAACCTCCAAACATCGATACATTTCTGTATTTTTCTCGTAAAACTGACGGTGAATATTTTTAAAAAACATCGATAAAAGTAAATATATTAGTGATAAATTTAATTCAAAAAAATTAACACTTGCCCGACTAATTAAAGTGTATTAATTAAAAGAAAAATAAATGCCGCCATTAGCCAATGTTAATTGTATATCTATATATTGAGAACAATGATATGGCTACTGCTCTCCCCTTACCGCACTAGAGTCGATACCCACCCCCCCCCCTCCCCCGCCTAGCGCTCATACTTCCTCAAGCTGATAGTTTGTATAATAATTTGGTCGGACAATTTTGTACAGATTTAAGACGTCCTTACAGAGAATCACCCATATATCTTATTTTAAAACAACCAAGTTTCTTGATTCGAGAATCAATTTCTTAAGTTAAGAGAACTGAATTACTTAAAACAAGAATGACATTTTGAAGAAAAAATTTTTCTTAAATCAAGTCATTTTTTTATCAGTGTACCCAAATACCCACATAATTTTATCACTAAATCTTGAGACAGATTTCAAAAATTTTAATGCGTAAAAATGCATTTACCAATTCTGCGGCGATTTTGATTGGACAACATTTCCAGAACCTTCAACGGTGCGATTTGCGCTAACTTTCTGGTTGTTAAATTGATAAGTGCTCAAAGGAAGTCCATTCACCAAAGCACTGCTGAAGAATATAAGTAAAAGACTTAAATTATGATGCGACTTCATCTTTGCGTCTTTAGTGAAGTTGGGACTCGAATTTCTCTAGATAAGAGTATACTATTAAGATTTTCAACAGAATAATCAATTAAACATTCACTTGCCGTTAACAGTTACTTATATAACAACTTTTTATAGATCAACATAACTTATTACAATCTCTAGTATCTTGGAAATTCGAAAATAACGATCTATTACAAGTAAATAGCAAATACTATCAGTCGAAAGACATTAGAATTGTCGATATCAAGGCTGCGGAGATAATCGTAATTTTTTACTTAACTATTGTATAATTATAGTAATGTTAGTCACTAAAAACATGATTTCTCATTTTTTATCACTTACTCTTGACCCAGATCTTACAAATTTTCTCAGAATGAGTGAATCGTAATTTGTAAGATAAAAATTTTTCAATTACTTAGATTGAAATCATTCGCGTTCGTTGATAATATTGTGAAATTTTCACAAAACTCTGTAAAATTACATGAAAATAAAAGGACCTTTTTTACTAAATTTTTTTACCTTAAAATTAAAAATTTTTTCTATAGTTGAAAAAAAAAGAGTCCATCATAGAGAAGTAAAAATTATGGTAGACACATTTCAGAAAAATTTATTTATCTTACGCAGAATTATTCGAGCTTTAATTTAAAAACAAAAAAATTTCTTTGCCTTTATTGGATACTTAAAATAAAATTGTACTAGTTTTTTTTACCCTCACTGCTGATAAAGGAATACAGTTTAGATGTTTGCCTGCTAAGAGTTAAAAAAGTGAATATATTAAACAAAGATAGGAATTAGGTTATCGCTCAATTTATCTGTGAAAAAGATTACTTTTTTATTCAAAAAATTATTAGATACAAAAACAATACAAATTATCGATAAGATCTCCATTAGAAGCAAGTACGTCTTATAAATAGTAATGATAATATTTAAATATTGATAATAGTAGTGATGGTATCACTATTTAGCGACTGCAAGCGATTACCAAGCAATGAGTACACTTTTTTCCAAATTTCTACGACGTTATTAACCTCTGTGCAGGGTAGATTAACGTGTTTGTAGAGAATTTTCAACATCTTACCCAAATTCTCAATCATTTCTGGCTTATCTTCGACATCTCCCCTAGTCGCTAGGGCGTAATATTGATCCAATTTCGTTAACGCGTTTGAAATTTCTTTTTTTACTGTCTTTGATAGCTCTTGATCCTATAGAAGATTTAAAATTCCAATTAATATTCACAAGGGTTCTTAAACTATTCATCAATTATTTTTCTTCATGACTGTGTATTTTATAATAGCATGACTTATGATGCGAAGCATCGAAAAATTTTTTCCGCCTCATTTCTGCAACTATTTTTATTATTACAGTCTTGTTAGTTCACAAAATCAAGATATTTTGCATACTATTGTCAGGATAATTTAATGGAGATTAATTTGACACTTTTTAAAAATTGATCAGGTGCCATAGAAACGGAAAAAATCATCAAAATACGTCAAAAAATTTTCCTGCGTCATGTATGAAACTCCGGAAACACTGTAGCTTGCGAAAAAATGCATTAATTGAGTTAATTTTTTTTTTTTAATTCTTTGAGAGAATTGTAGGTCACCGAATGCGAATGACTAGGTAATTCAGTGTCGTTTATGTACAATTAATAAAATAAAACATTAACCAGAAGGTAGAGGCGCTTGCGCATTATCGTGCTATTTTAGCTGTTTTATATATTTTTTTCACAATATTTTATTAATGTTTCATAATTAAATGAGCATTATGAGCCGTGCACTTTTGGATTTTCCAAACTTGAATTTTCACAATTAACACGATATATACCTTATAAGATTTGTAGCTGCCGTAGAGAGGCCAACTTTCGGTACAAGCCTGACAGGAACACGTGAAATGGTACTGCTGTAACAATTTCTGTCTTCTTTTCGCCTTCAAAGTTATCGCATAATGTTGGCCGTAGTTGTCAAAAATCTTAGAAAGTCGGAAAAAAAAATTAATTTCTCAATTCTAAACCCTAATTGACAATATAAAAATTACCTGCTCGCCTTTTTTAATCGGACTTATAGCAATCATAGCTATTTTTTTGCCAAAAGATCGTCTGTCGACCATCGGATTGCAGCTATGATTGAAAAGACTGTAAAATGGCATGAGAGCAGCTGCTCTGTCGATTGGTAATTGATCTAAGTTATCTTCAGTCACCTAAAATTCATAAATCATCATTACAAGCAAGTAAAGCACTACCTTAATTGCTTCGCGTTATGAGGCGTGCAAAACCTACACTTACACTGTGAACATTGCTAGGAATAATTTGGAGGTGTCTCATGACCAATCCGCCAACAAAAGTGGCCCATGGATGACTCAAAACCTCCGGCAAGCCGCCTTTCAATTGTTCCCCCAGGATGGAACTCTCCGTCGCCAGTAAATATGTAATGAAGACTGCATTGAGCGACCTGCCAAATAAATCGGGCACCGACCTTCGTTCAGTATTCCTCGCTAGGGTGTAGACACTAGAATACTTGCTGCCATCTAGCTTACCGTCTGTGAACCCATTCTTCCTAATATCTAAAAAGCTCAGAACAATCAGCCTCCATCGAAACTAGACATAATCAATAATGACCCTATCAAAAAAATCCACATGGGTCTATTTGGAAAATCCCACATAGGAAAGTATGTGCACATGGATTCCTATAGTGAATTCATATAACTGGAATGAACATATATCTCATAATAACGTGACGTAGGCCAGTGGGTAGCGTAGAAGACCGTCAACCATGAGGTACTGGGTTCAAGCCCGTCAGACGCCAGCAGTGATTTCATTGGATAAAAATAAACAACCTCGTTTTTTTTTACTAATTTCAATTAAACATTAATGGGCAGTAATTAATTTATTTTTATTTCTGATTTTTTAAATAAATTTTTTTCACCTGATTAATATAGGAATCTATGTAGGATCCCAACCTGGATTCCTATAGGAAGCCACATGGGAATTCACATAGGAATCCATCCGAAAACGCCATGTGGGAATCCAGGCTGGTTTCCCATGTGGATTTTTTTGATAGGGAATCACAAAGTCCTTACCAGCTAAGAAATCAATTCTTATCAGCAAATCTTTCAGAGCTTGAAGGTCTCCAGCTTGCTTCACAGCAGAGACCAGCAACCTAAGAGCCATAAGTGCCATGTGGTTCATCTCCATAGCCACAATCGGACCCGTAATTCGACACTCCACCTGGTGGTATCCTTCCCAAGCGTCTCTCCGACACTCTTCGCTACAAAACACCGCGTAGACGCAAAAATTGCACGGAATGGCGGACCAGGTCTGCTTCAAGCAATAGGTACAGTGCGTGTAAATCTTATCGAGCATCAAAACAGTCGCATAACCTTCGTTGACAGCCAAAACTTCTCCGACTTTGATGTCTCGAGTTGCCCGAACATATTTTCCATACTGCTCAGAAAATTCCACAGCTACCGCGGATGTAGCTCCGCAGATCTCTTCATTATCAGCACTGATGCTCGGCAAATGGCGCTCGTCCTCAAGTTTGATGAACGCTGCCTCACTTTGGCTCATCAAATGCAAGCTGTTGAGGGTTTTTTCGACCAACTTCACTCCCGAGTCCTTTCCGTCCATCTTGGGCAGCCACAAGCGCACCTGCTCCAAAGTTTCCGCTACTTTTGGGTCCGAGCTTCCATCAGGGCCCACTAGGTAACTCAGGCATCGCGCTTTTCGCGCGAATAACTTTGCCTTCCACTTATCCGGGTAGTTTAACTTCAAGGCGCGCTCACAATCGCGAAGGCAGTCTTCATATAAATGCGCCTTGAACAGTGTCGCCGATCTGTTGGCGTACGCCAGAGACAACTCATATGACCCAGGTGCGTACGCTATGCTTTTTGTGTATAATTCGATTATTACGTCAAAGTCGCAATTCAAGGGGTTGTTTATCAGCGATTTAGTCGCTTTGGTGTTAAATTCACGGGATTGGAACAAGTTTTTCACTTCACTTTTTATCGGAAAAGTTATATTGTAGTCTATCAGCAAATTTAGGGTGAATATTACGCGTTCTTGGTCGGTTTTTAACTGGGAATAACGCTCAAAACACTCGCCATGCTTCTTCTTATCCGTTAGTTTTTGGCTCAACACTTCGAGGATTCCATCCATTTTATCATCGCATTTGGAAAATTTTATTTAAAAGTCGTACGTGAAGAGTAGATTGTACTAAACTACCAGCGAAACAGATGACTGACTTACTGAGGCTCGAGAGATTTGACGTTAAGTATTTTTAGAACAACGTTGCGATCGGACACACGAGTTTCGGGAGACTAATGTCTAAATTTAAAGTGTAAGATGTTTTTTCTGTACAATGGGAATGAAGATAGTTCTTTTCATTTCAAGGGATCGAATTTTTGGAATTTAGAAAATACTTTATACGTAACGTTGTTACATTCAGTACACAGAAATTCTTTGCTACGAGGGTAAACTCGGCGACGCAATAATAATATTATTTATACGATATTTAGCGTTTTTTGGATTTTTGTGCTATTACATTTTTTGTGTTCTATTTAAATCATTCTATGGAAAAAAAATTACGAAAAGTATCGATTTTATTGTCATTGTTATCCACGATTTTTAATTTTATTTATATTTCTTTATTTCTTCGTAAAATTTCCAATTTTAGATTTCTTCTTTGCAATCTTAAAAATTTTTGCTACATACTTTTTCTTTTTCTCAAGTCAAATTTCTGATTATTGATTTAGTCTTGAGCGCTTTGTTGAAATAAAAAATTAATCATTGTCATTCATAAAATCATTGATTTTTTCAAGGAACGAATTTTGTAGCTTAAAGTTCTATTTCTTCAAGATTATCTTGATAAATTGATGAAATTTTTATTTGGGTGTGTTTATTAATATTGCAAGTTCTATGTAATTCATGTGAATAATCAATGAAACAGTTACACGAAAAAGTCCGTCGGAAAATTAAAACTTTTATTTTAATAATCTGGATTTGATGATCTGGTAAAACATGTAAAAAAATTTTAACGCTTTTGATCTATTTAAAGTATTTTTGATCTTTTTTTTTCAGTCTAAAAGACTCGTAATTGAATTACTTGAATACCTATGATATTTATGTTTTTAAAAAAACTCGGGGTAAAATTTTGATCTTCTTTTTAAGCTAATCAATCTGTAGAACTATCTGTTTTGTTTTCAAATTTTAATTAAAATTTTATACTGTTTTTGATCGAAAATTTGAAGAAATAGTATTATCACAGATGATAAGATTCATTTTGGTGCTTGGAAAGATTTTGACTCTAAATTTCTGAATGATAAAAATTGATTAAAAGTAACCTGGATGGAATCAAAAATAGACTGATAGGGTGACAAAAGAAGTCTCATTTTGATCTGGAAATTATCGAAAGTAGATTCAATAAAATACTGAAGATAGTCTTGAATTATTGGTATAGAGAATAGTACGCAAAAACAGATCTAATTCCTGTGTAAAATAGATAAACACGCAGTTGAATCAAATGAATCATCAAAAAATTTCATTTGTTTCAAAACAGATCAAATTTTTTGATCCAAATAAATGTTTTCCAGAAAATTTCTTCGGAGAAAACTTTAACGAATTTATTGAAATTTTTGTAACATTAAATTTTGTAAAATTACATGATTTTAATAAAATTTTACCAAATAATTCTAGTGAATTTAACAAAATTTTACGAAATCATAATTCTTGAATTCAGTGAAATCTTACAGAATTTTTAGAGTGCAATCTTTTAAAATTTTATAAAAAATTATGTTAGGTATAGCTCGAACAAAAAGTTTGTTTCTTTGAAGTAAAAATTCTAAATTTATTATATTGAGCGACTTATCCAACAGCCGGCGAGAGCTATCCATTGTATCAAAACAATAGCACGTGTACTTAATGCACATATGTATATAAAGACCTTGATAGTTGAATCGAAGCAATCCATGCGCATAGTCAATACAAATCACCATAGTAATAACAGTAACAACAAATAAATTCTTTATTTTCATTTACTTGATATTTTAGGTCATAATGAAATTAACTTCCAAAACTGTGGCGCTATTGTTAAAAATTCGTAGAATCAACATATATTAATCGGCTAATTCAGACAATTCTTTTGTTTCAATAGAAAAAGAAGACATTAATCTTTGTTGTCAAAAATTAATAAAAAATGTCTCTCCATTGCAATCCGTTAATTTATTTGAATATGGGTGGTGAAATGTTATATGTGTTGCAACAAAGGTTGAAGGCGCAGAAAATAAATTCACGCAAAACGTCTACAGGTAAAAAAAATGACGCTATTATGCACATAATAATTATAATTATATTGTTGTAATAAAAAATCTTTATCAAACTTGGAAAAATTTTGCTTGTTATACATTACTATAGTCAATATATAAGAAATAATATATATTTAACGTCAATTTATTTATTTAGTACTAGACGACATAACAGCCGCATTAGTTGACCCAAAAATAATATCAGCAATATTCACCGATTCGCGAATTTCAAGTTTAAGTTGGATTCGTTCGACTTTGGAGAAGATTGCTTTATGCTCAATAATGCGCTTGGACCAGGACAGTATGAACAAACTGTTTGACTTAATGATGATGATGGTGAAATTTCAGTTATCGACAGCGACGGGACCTCGAGAAATTATTCTGTTAACATTAAACCATGTTGATGGCTTACGAAACATGACTTCTCGCAATGGAATTCACGAAAAAATTACAGTTGTTCATGAACTAATTATCAAGGTAACAGTTATTACTGATTTAAGTAATTAAATTAAAGTAGTTCTTCTGTAATGTACAGTGAAGTCAGAGCATTTAATATTGTCGAAAGGTTAATGCTATTATCATATAATTATTAATTATTTGCCATAAAAATAACATATAAAAATGCCAAAAAACTTATATTAAAATAAAAGAATTATTCATCGCAAAAATTTTTCATTTTTTTTTGGCGTTGAAAAAAACAAGGTTTTAGAGTTATGCGATAATAAAAAGTATGATTGATAACCAGATCGTGTCAGAAATATTCATTTTATGATTTTTTAATATTCATGACAAGTGCAACGATGAGTCATACAACAGTAAAGTTTTTACAAAATATGATAATTTTTACGACATTTTCATGTCAAAGGTATAAAATCTTATCAAATCTGACTCGTCATAGCAAAGTTCTAAAAAATAACAAAATGCAAACCGAAAATTTTTTATTATATTATGAACCGATATGTTAATTTTAGATGCCTAACCGATCTAAAAAGTGAAGTATACCGATGAATAATAAAGATATCTAAATAAATTAGGAATACGGTTGACCCTGAAGGCCATCCCTGCAACTTCCTGCTAATTTCATACCTAGGCGTTTAAAATTGCACTTATGATGTTTTTGAGCTCTTCAAGCTCCAAAATACAATTTCTGTGTTATTTTGAGCCCTCCAAGCTCAAAGAGATAGCTTTTCTATGCTTTTGAGCTCTTCGAGCTCAAAAGTCTGATGAACGTTTAATAAAACACCTACATATATACATACATACAGACATAGTGACACCCTCGCGGGGAACAAGTAATCTTGGTTAACTGGCTCAAGAATTGCCCGAATCTATTTCCAGGGCTTTGACAACTATCTGACCAAATAAATCTTGTCCAAACCAATGTTACTCGAGATATTATTAGATTTCTATAGGTATACTAAGTAGATTGTCATTGGATTCCCGAAAATTTATAATAATAGATTACTCATAGATTACTCCTATAAACAAATTATCAACATGTCGTTTTTAAGTTAGAGCTAGCTCTATTATTAGTCTTATCTTAGTAAGTAGAATTATATTTCGTTTAATCTCTTATACTTTTAATGACATATGTCATTAAGTAATATTACTGGCAACCTTGCAGTCAATATGTGACTGCCGTGACTTATGAACAATAAATAAATAAAATTTTGCTTTATTAAATAATGACTTTAGTTAAATTGCACTGTACTTTTTTAACTATTGACGTTTTTAAAGATATAAGCTCATCCCGATGTTACACTCATCAATAGCTTTCATTTGAGTACCCACATGCATTTTGATATATTTTTCATATTTTTCATATATATATAAATACATGAAAAATTGATGTGGGTACTCAAATGAAAGGTCTCGAAGAGTGTAACATCGGGATGAGCTTATATCTTAAAAAATGTCAATAATTCACAAGATGAAATGTCATTTCTTAATTATGTATCTAGAGATAAAGCATTTTCGAATGCAAACACATTTTCGAAAAAAAAACTGATTTTATCATATAAATACACTGGCTACAAAATTCCGTGTATTCTCTTAATAATATAGATTATTCCAACTTGATCTGCTCATATTAAATGTGATAAATTAAATAATTTACCTGTATTATTTTTTTTGTATTAGCACTTGTAATTATTGAAATTAGTGCCTTGGCATATTACATTAATATATAAAAAAAATTCGTTTCAAAGAGGGACTACTATAATAAATTATTGACAATCAATTGCTTCATGTAGAAATACGGAAAGTTAACCTGCAACGAAATATGGGATGCGCGAAATGAGTGCTTGGACCTACTGGAAGACATCAATGTCCGCGTGTCAATTCTTCTGAAATTGGGCCTGCAGAATGAGGACACGAGTTTCAACATGAATGCACGGAATTACAACGAAAAGTTTGATCTAATGAGCAAAGAGTTAGGGTCAACTGAATTGTTACAAGTTCCGCAGAATTTAAGAGTCGGGTCTTTGCAACTAATGGGGGAACGCGTTACATTTTTAGGAAGAAATATGTGAGTAGTTTATTTTAGATTAATTGATACCATTTTGGAAACTATATTACCTAATCACGATTTTTCGGCATATTACAGATATGCAATGAACTACTCATTTGTAACAATAAAGCCGCAGAAGGAGAAATTACCGCCCTCTAACAGGGACAAGTTGTTCATAAAAGACAAGGGAACCAAAGCTGAACTTGGGATGCTGGCAGCCCAATTGGGAACTGAAGATACATCTTCTACGAGGACCTTCAGTCTCGATTTGTTCGATGATATTGATGTGAAAAGCGAGGACCAGGACAATGAAACTTCTGAAATTAAAGATGATGACCAACTAGAAATTAATGATATGATTAAAATTAATGATGAGTACAAGAGCAAATTGGAGAATCTCTGCGCGGACTTTCTCACTGAAGACGGTATCGAGAACAAAGTGAATCTTTTGCAGCTTCTTGATGAAAATTAATCATAGTGTGTTTAACTTTTTTAAAAAATAAAAAAGTTTTGTTTTGGGATTAATAAGTTGGTTTTATTGATTAATTTTTTATACACTTCACTTCAATTTTATTGTAAATCAGTATTATTCTTAAGGGGTTACATGGGTTTCACGGTTTTAAAAAATCGGTTTTTTTTATGTTTTTTATTAAATTCTACAACATCTCTATAATATTGTCCTAAAGTTTCAAATCGATCCGAATAATAGTTTCGGAGATACAGTTTTAAAAAGTTGCGCGCTCAAGGCGCTCTTGTATTGTCACTCAAAACTTTAAACGCGTTTTTCTCAAAACTATGTTTTCAAAGACGGTGGTCAAGATTTCTCGAGAACTACTTAACCGATCTTGATGAAATTTTAGACAGGTCTTCAAGATATAATTAAAAAAAAAAATGCTGCGAAATTTTAGCCAAATTTTTAATTGTTTTGTCAAAAACCTCTTCCAAAAATCCAATTTTCATTTTTTTTTCCTTCGTTCAAGACCTAGTTTGAAGTCTTAACTAAAGCACATGTTTTTTTTTTTCACTTCAAGTAATCCTGCTAGGAGTTCTGCTGATCACGCGGACGCATCTTTTTCCGAGGACTCACCGGAAATGACGTCACATTAGCAGAGTTTTTAACATTTTTTCTTTTTAATTTCAGTAATCTCTTATTAAACATATATCTTTAAGACACTAAAAAATTTGAATAAAATATTTCATTTTTTCTATTAAAAAAAAAATTGTTGAAAATAGGCCATTTTTCCCCAGAGGAAACCCATGTAACTCCTTAAAGTTATTGCAAATTAGTTTTGTCAATTTTATTTATTAATTGCATCATTTCTGTTGGTTATATTTTAGATCTTTCACTAGTAATTTATGTGTCCAATTAATACATCCTTAATATTTCTTCAATTTTTCATACTAATTATGAATTAATGATAAAAAATTGTATTTTCTATTGTAAATATGTGAAGAAAATATATTTAATATTACAATAAAGTACATAGGGTCATTAAGTCATTATATATATATATATATATATAAATCAAACTTCAAAAGTTATACATTGAAGGGTTAAAGAGAACATAAATAGAAAATCTTAAATTATAATTTTTGAAACCTTTTATTTATTGTTTCAATAGTTTATTTTTCACAATAAAAAAAAATACATTTATTAATGAAATTCTACATGGAAAATGTAAATAATCTTTTACAATTTGTTTCAAAATAACCTTAAAATTGTATCGACTAATAACAAGTATTATAAACCAAAAATAATTATTTTCATGTTTCTTCAAAATCCGTCTTAAAAAAATAACTTATTGTATACTTATCAATTACAAAAGTTGTCATAAAAGTACTTAATCAAGCTGTAAGATCAATAATAAATTTAACCCCAATTTTTCCATCCATCTTGAGCGCCTGCGCGATAGCTTGTTCGTCAGACAACTTAATTATTTTATACGGAGGAGGTTGTAACTTTTTAGCCTCAAATAACTTTCCTATTTCTTCAAACATTTTAGTATTTTCCTCCGAGTTTCCATGCGCCTTTTTCCAAGCCGTCATCCAAAATCCTTTAATCGAAATATTCTAAAAGAAGAAATCAAAATTAACCTCGCATTTCTTCATACCAAAACGCTAAAACAAAAATCACCTTGAAGATCAACGCTGAAGCAGGAACAGTAAGCGGTTCTCTGGACATGGCTCCATAAGTGACCATTGTGCCCTCAGCCCTTAAATGCCTGAGAACATCAACAGCATTCTGACCACAGACGCAGTTGAGGGCCAATTTTGGCGTTGGTAGTTTCTTACTCTTAAAGAGATCTGTAGTGCGCACTTCGCTTTCTGTCAGAACTTCAGTGGCTCCAATGCCCTTGAGATCTTTCTTCAAAACTTCAATATCTTCACGGTCTCTGACAACGTTTACGCTATTGAGATTCCAAGCCTTGCAAAGTTGGATCACCAATTGGCCAACCGCGGAATTTCCACCGTTTTGAATCACAGTGTCACCTGGCGAGAGTTTTTCAAAGTCTTTCAGCATTCTATAGGCAGTGCAAGGATTTACGATGAGCATACTAGCTTCCACGGCGCCCAAAGTTTTGGGAATCTGAAGAAAAACCACTCATTTGATTAGTAAGGTGGTTCACTCACGCCTATAGTCTTTGCTATTTCTTTCCTTTTCAATCGCTAGTGCTACTTTTCTCATAGACTACTCAATTATTCGCTTTTACTAATGGTTGTTGTTGTTCAAATAAATGGTTTATTGACAATTTATAAAAAACAATACGGTCCGGAGCTTCAAAATTTTTTTAGTTATTTTAAGTGTATTATTTTAACAGGTGTCAGTTTGTTTAAAATATCGTGAAATCCTTTTAATTCTGATTAAGAAATCTAATTTAAAATGATTTGAAATAATTTAAAAGCATCTGATTTGAATGCTATATAGATACACAATTAACATGAAGGTAAACATTTCAAATTATCTTTCTGAATCAGAGATGCCACAGCATAAAAATAGTAATTTATGTCATATGGCCGCAAAGTGGCGATTTTCTGACAACGACGATGTTGCGATATGAGCTTAAGGTAGTACTACCGGTTTTAGATTTGACGTTCAGAATTTAATGAAATTTGGCATATTGGCACTTTATAAGCAGTAAAATTTTTGGAAGCCGAGCAAGTCCTGAAAAAAAGATATTAATATTTTTACTTTTACCACATATTTACTACATATTTTTGCTTTTACCATTGATCCTTATGGAGAATCATAGACTTTATTTTATTTCACAAAACTGGACGTTGAGATTCTTATAAAAATCAACACAACGAGAGGAAATAACATCTAGAACATATTTAGTAACAATCAGTATGGTTTCCAAGAATATGAGAATATTTATTAATAAAAAACATTCAAAATTTATCTCTGTCTCTCTTTCTCCAACGTAATTTAGTATAGGGAAATCTACTACGTTAATCAAATAAGGTTAGGTTTTGGGATTTGACACTTGTGGTAACGGTAGTACTACCTTAAGGTTCGTGGCGGGAATGCACGAAAATGGGCGTAATTTTAACGTCCGAGGCGAAACCGAGGACGGAAATTTACGCTCGTTTTCATACATTCGCGTCACAAACTTTAAAGCGAATATCGTAAAATCGTCGTTGTCAAAATCACCACTTTGTGGCCAAATGACATACAATATTTTTTGTTATTATCGCTCCATAAGTTTAACTTTTGAGGGATAGGAGGCAAATAATGACATATTCAAATTTTATGAAGTTTCACAACAGCAAAAAAACTTAATTTTATATTAATTATCTTTTTATTAATATTTATTAATAACGTGGTTGTTATTTTATTAACATTAGGTCCGCTTCGTAATAAACTCCCAGCAGAGAAAGAATTAGCGCCACTCAATAGTAACTAAGTTTAAAATTTACTCAAAATCCATCGGTCGGTACACTAGAATTTGATTTATTTCGTTCTAAATTTCATCCGATTGCTCAAAGTCAATACGGAAAAAACGGGGGAAGTAAACTTTGCGGCCTAGGCTGCGGAAAAAAGGCGGTATGGTAGAGTCTCTAGAAATGAGTATCTTTTCGGACGCCACCCAGCGCTCAAAAGTTGAATTTTGGGAGCGAGTATAACAAAAAAATTTTTTTTTCACTCTTTTCACATACTGCCTGTCCTAAGATGTTATTTTTAATTACAATTATCTCATATTTGGTACGATCAATTTATTTCAAATTTCAACAGCGTTTGTATTGAATATTCTATTATATTTGAATTTTAGATTTTCTCAATTTTTTGGCTTTTTGTATAGGACCCTTCAAAAAAGACCTCCTGGTAAATTTTGAGATTTTTCTGATCACTGGTTCAAAAAATACTGAATTTTCAAAAAAAAAAAAAACCGCTCTCTTTTTATGGTTTTTTGCTCGTAACTTTTTTTAATAATGGTCGAAATTGAAATTTTTTTTCAAAATTTTCGTTATTAAATGTCTTCATCAGAAAAAAAATATAATAAAACATATTCAAAGTATTTTTAATCGAGATTTTTGAGTTTTAAGTTTTTAATTGTCTTTTTAAAATTGTGTATATTCTTCGATATTTTTTTAAATTTGCTGTTTTTACCTTCTATCCATCCTTCAACTTTTAAACCCGGTCCAGTAATGGGCTTTACATAATTACTATTTTTTATCGATTTTTAAAAGGTAAAAAATTTTTTTTCCGCTATTAATTATTATCAGTACCGATTTTTTACACTTTATACTTTTTTTTTACTTATCAAAAATTCATTTTGATATGTTTTTGCTCCCAGTAGAAATTTTAAAGAAATAAAGAAAGGCTAATAGTAATTATTACAAACGTTTTTATTAATTTTCGCGTTTTTTTTTTTTTTTTAAACCGTTTATAGTATATTAACCGTACTACCTTAAATCTAAAATTCACTATAAAATTACCAAAAATAAAAAAACTACAAACCTTCATCAGAAGATCAGGTTCGTAGGTCCCGCGGGTGGCCCAAGTACCGATATTGTTAACATTAGGAACCACGCGATCGCCAACTTTTAAATCAGTAACATTCCCTCCGACTTCAGCGACCTCTCCAACACCTTCATTCCCCGCGATAGCGGGCAAGGAAGGACGGCTTGGGTATTTACCTTGCAGTGTATTAATATCTGCCGGATTTACCGCCGACAAAAGCCATTTAACAGCAACTTGATTAGCTTCTGGCTTCTTGTCAGGCACTTCTGTTAACTTTAGAACCTCTGCAGGATCTCCGTACCCGGTGTAAATCAATGCGTGTCCCTTTTGTTGACAAGATATACTGAAATTACGGGAGATACTTTTTTTGTACACGGAATTAGTTTTCACGGTTTTTATAAACAAGTTACCTAGAGCACGAGACATTTTTGGTTAGATATTTATTGTCACAGTTCACTAGCGTAGTAGAGTTTAAATTGTTCTGATTATTGATACTGTTGGTAGTTTATAGGTTATAATTAATAAACCAAAGCACCGCTAGGTGGCCGTTCTACTGAATTTTTTTTTATTTAGATTGCACATGTGCATTACTTTAAATTAATTTTTTATGAAAATGAAGTTAGCTGACAATTCAAAATTTTTATTAATTTTTTATCGAAAAAATTTCAATTAAACAATTAAAAAAAAAATATATCATATGTTAAAAACTTAAAAAACTATAAGTGCAATTTTTTATAAATATCTTTTTAGTTGTAATTTAATTTAAAAAAAAAATCAAAAATTTTTAGACGTCTGCTAACTTCAGTGTCATAATTTTTTATGGATGACACTGAAGTTGACAGATATTAAAAATTTTATCGCAATTAAATTATTAGCAAAAAAAATTAATAAAAAAATTCCACATGTGAAAATTGAAAAAAAATTTCAGTGAAAATTTTTGAAAGTGTTTCTATTATTGTAATTGACTTTTTATAAGAATTAAAAAATTTTACGGTTGTCAGCGCACTTCAGTAGCATTTTTTATTGATATATTGTCACGTGTATATTATGTAATATTTATTTTATTTTTTTCATTAGGTAATTGAATTAAAAACCAAAAAAATAATTTATAAAAAATTTCACATAAAATTTCTAATTAATATCTCTGACATTGAAGTTAGCCGTCACTTGATAATTTTTTAATTGTATTTAACAAAAAAATTATTTTAAAAAAATTGCATTTTTTATTTTTTTTTATTTCTACATGTCAATTTTTTAAAATAATTTTTTCTTTTCATAATTTATTTGTTAAAAAAATTTTTTAAATTATCAAATATCTGCTAAATTAATTCACATTTAATATCTTAAAAATATAGAATTTTTATCTTTTTTTTTACAATTTTTTTAATAAAAAAAATCCTAAAAATTTTCTGATGTCTACTAATTTTATTTTCACAAATTAATAGGGTGGATTCAGTAGATGACCTACAAATTAATTATAAAATAATTTTTAATACTAAATTACATAATTTATAAATAATATTAAAGTTAGCCGACGTTTTTGATTTTTTTTTTTTTTTTTTTTTTTTT